GATCAGATGTCGATGGGGGCCATTTGAACTGAGGCTTGAAGTGTTCAGCCTATCGATCAAGACGGCGTTGCTGATTGTGAATCAGTGTGTCATGGGATTCTTTAATCACCTCACTTGCGCTTACTTTCCCAGGGCCCGTATTCCGAATTAGACGGAAAAGATTGCGACTATTGCCGATAGCCGCAGCTTTCTCCATCTCTCTACACTTCTCTACCCATCACTTCTCGCGATCGTTCCTCAGACTCTTGATGAGCTGGCGCTCAAGGGATTTGCGCGATTAGGTAGAGTGGATGTCTCACCTTCCAGGTTGAGGTTCGAAAAACTGCAACTGGTTAATTGGATGCATTGAAAGATATAGCAGTGAACCTACAGGAGTGGCGTTCTTGTGGTGATTTAATATCAGACCAGAATGCTTGAAACGGTATGTATGCACAGTTAGATTGTGTACTTTGTGTGTTAACCATAGAGCTTCACTTTCTTTTCCCCGCCGTGAAAATAAGCCCAATCCCTGTCTACCTTACATATTCCCATTAACTCTGAACACATTACAATCAGCGGAGTTCCCTTCATTGTATTTTGCTGTATGACGATAATGATGATTATCCACGTCTTCCATGTGACATCATACGCCTTCACCTCTCCGTCAGATGCCTGAAAACTGTTCTCGCTGGTCATTTACAAATGTTGACCGATTTGGAATACACGTCAGCCGTGATGATCGGTCGTTATTTGCAATATCTTGTCTCTATTGGCTATTCCCACAATCTATTCTACCTGAGAACTATACTGGCCAAAGTGTGGGGCCCAATTTTCCTCAGACCGCGTTATTCACGCGAGTTTCGTCTGGCCAAACCACTGACTGAGGAGGCTCGGATAAATTTGGCAATCGCGGTGAGTGGTGGTCGAAATTCACCTAGATTAGGTCAACAAGAGTTTCAGTTCCGGTTTGTACATCCCCATTTTTGTGTTCCGGTTGCTACTTTGGCGTCCATCTGGTTGATCAATGAAGTAATGATTCAGAACAGAGAATAGGATCCCCGAGAAATTACGAAGAAGAAAAACAAAGCACTGAATATATGATTCTTTGTTTATTGTTTTGTAACTGCAATTATAGCACAGCTGGAAGCGTGCAAGAATTCATTTATTATGCGACAATCATGGTTATTTATAGCAAAGAACGAAGACGAGGGAATGTCTATAGCTAACGATTCGTTAACTAGATTGCTGTTAATCATCTTCATTGGTTGACAGTTCTGGTCAATCACCTGAGTGTGCCCATCAATGTTCTGATTGGTTGGCCCAGAACAAAGCAGTTTTCACGGGGCAATGCTGATTCCCGGATCTCAAAAACAAGAAAGATTTACTTACATAATAACCTGAACACAGTTCACGCCAATATACGATAGCCTATCACCCGCAGAAGGGGGCGGGGGGAGAGGGAAAACAAATACTCTGACAAACTAATCTACCAGAACTGAATGTATGAAACAGAAAAGAATACCGAGTCTGAGCAGAGGAATGATGATACCTTTTAGAGAATTATTGGTGTTCTGATTATATCGGTTTAGATTACGCTCAGCGCTGACCAGTTAGGGTTATGTCCACAACACACCCACGTAACTTTAAGTTACATCAAAACCATGAGCAACTCTCCTTAGTTGACCACTTCAGGGATAACCACAAGGTAATCTCTCCAACGTATCAACAGCAAGCGTTTATACATATATATATATATATGTATATATATACTCCAAGATGACACAATCTTTGACTGCAGCCCTACTCTATCTGTTCTGCTACGGACAGAGACGTTGAACCATTTGTTGTGGTGACTTGCCTTTGGAGCTGTTTAGGTATACGAGCAGCTGACTGCAATCTCTAGCACGAAAGTGAATGGACATGTTCATCGAACTGAACGATTGCATCATCTTGCCCGAATGTCGCCATCTGCAAATCGCGCTCGGGCATAGAATTATCTGTTAGAACCATTAATGATCGTTTTCAAGCACCTGAACAGATGTATAAACAACAACCATATATGCGCAGTTAACTCACAGTTACTTTGAGTAGTGGTGTGGGATAAATTATATTTCATTGATTTGAACTGACCATCCTTCTGATTCCACCTTCATGCACAATCCTCAACTCCTCAAATCAGCCATACACACGCAAGCGCCAGACTCGAGTTTCGCTCTTATTAGAGCTCATTAGTAATGCATATCCACCGTCCCGTCCGGGATTTGAACTCCGGACCCATCGCATAGAAGGCATGTGCGTTACCACTGTGCCAGCCAGCTCATACCGTGGCTGAACCAAATTGCCACTTCATGTTTGTTTAGGTATCGTCTTCAGTGATAGCCAGTTCATTTGGTCCGATGAACTGAGGATTGTGCGTGAAGGTGAAGTCCGAAGGATGGTCAGTCAAATAGAGAACACTATATTACATGTAATTGCTGTAGTCTTACCTTATTTCCGAAACCGGCAAATGTATTATCTATTTAGATTGTGCGACCATTCTGGACTAGAATTTGAGGTAACATTTTATATGTTCCGTCGTGAGCTCAAAATGTTTGCATTACACTTCACTAAACAGTACCATATTTCGAGCACGGATGAGAATCCAGAATGTGTAGCAAACAAATCATGGAACAACAATTCCATGATTGGCTTGCGGGCTGAATACTGCCAGGTTGCCCAGGCCAAGGCAGGTGAACTTTTTCTTGACGAATCCACAACCGGAGCCTTCGGCTAGCCAAAGCCTGACCCGCAAGGCAGCGGGGTGGTGTGCGAAATCCGCAAGCCATTGGGAGCAGATGTCCAATTCATCGGATCATACGCCCTTCGGATGGGGTCAAAGGTTCAAGATGCCCAATGCGCCTCGATGTCCGATCGAGACGGTGACCACTGCCACAACCAAGAAGGTTTGGATGGGTGGAGTTCGTACACCTTGCATTGATTGGTTCGGAATCAGGGATTTTAGCCAACTCCCCAGAGAGGTTTGGGTGTTTCATCAACCCGGTTATAGCCCCGGATGTTGACTTTTCATCATCTCACTTCAGTGGGAAAACACCTCCACCTCCATGAGAAGGCAGTGAGTAGGGCTTTCTCAGCAGAGGCTCTTCGAGACGCTTGGTCGTATGGGAGCATTTCACAAGGTACAAGGAAGGGGTGACCAGCCGTAACTCTAGACACCCACCTGCGAGGCACAGCAACATTAACGTTATTCAGCTATACCGTTTACTGCTTAACACGAGGAGGTTTCATGTGTTCCGTTTGCTCGCTTTGCTGCATCACCTTTACGTTGCTCTTGACTGTTTTCACTGCCCAAAATTGTTCACTTGGTCCGAAGTCAATGTATTCTCGTGAACTGCTAATTATGGAACCATGTCATTATACAAATTATTCAGTGGCCGTATTCCTTTTTGTTATCTACCCAGACTGTGTAATTTGACTAGATTGTACCGGTGCCGTTTTGATCTACAGGGATTCGGTCATTTGTATGGTACCATTTTTGCTAGGTTTAGTAATCCAACCGTCAATTCGTTGCTCTGTTGCCATCACTCCAACAGTAGTACAGGTAAGTTAATAATAACAAACAGCAACCGAACTACTTTAAATAATATTGTAATGGAAGTCTTTCATATTGTGTACGATTTTCCCGTAAATGTTCTATAAAGCTGTTCAAAAGTGACCCATGACATACAGTTAGGCATTAAACAAAAAGTGAACATTCAAATTGACATCGAAGTAGTTCATTCACGTCTTTTGATGGCGTGTTCAATGTTGTGATCACATAAAATCGAAGGGCTCTATAATGGATATTTCGGAGTGAGTGCAATAATGATGCCACATCCAACGAGAACATTCTTTCATAGTTAGCTGTTAGTTAGTGACCCCCATTATTCGAAGGAATTTCGGAAATTGTATAAGCAATGTGTGCAACATATGTACACGCACCTCCACGAGCAGCACCGACCGAAACACATGAAAAAAGGACGGCACTCTCAAACCCATTCACCGGATTTTTTTTATCCCATAAACCATGACACTCAATTCAACCATTCTCTTCGGACTGGGTCGAACACGTCCGCACATTTTGTCTTGAGTATCCCTCATGAATCTGTCTGCATCTGATCACGTCGTGTCACGTGGCTAACGTGACGATCCATACCACCATTATAGTGGGTCGATCGATGCATGGACCGCACTAGTCAGTAATCCATACGACTAGTAGGGACTCTGAAGAACATGCACACTGAAGCCGGACGGTGTAAAACTGGCGAACAGACTGGACAGTACGCATGTCGAGTTGATAACTCGAAACTGTCACCGGAAATGCTGACATAATCATGGCTGTCAAAATTGCCGGGTTAATTCTACATCCGTTAGTCCGTTGATTGAGAAAGAAGCATGAGTTATTTCGTGGCATAGCAATTTTTTCACTCACTAACCGATTACTAAAAACTTTTTCAGTCTGAGGAATAGAAGACTAGCGATGTACGGAATACGAGCATAGATGCATGAGCACCACATAAAGTCTTATCACATATCACTGATCTCATCCAGGAATCCGGACACGACCTACCGGATTATTATTAGCAGCACAGATCACGAATTGTCATTCTTATTTGTTCCATATTTTTCATTTTTTTTTTTAAATTGTTTTTTGCTGTTTCCTGTCAGCTATTTGATCGTATTATTGAAACCGCACCTTGGCAAACGTATACCCCGTTCGAAGGTGTGCATAAAGTGATTCTACAGGAGAATATTCTGGCCAAATCGTACGTTCCTGATCACATCCGCGATCCGATTCGGATCCCGTATGATCCGGAACAGGACAAACATCGTGTGCCCGGCTATCTTCGTGGGACAATGAGCGATCGATTCAAAGAGGAATCGATTAAACATGCCAAAGAAACAGCCAAACCCGAATGCCCGATTCATCCGAACAGACAAGGAGATCAACAGCAGCAGCATGAACCAAGCCAATCTGGTGATACATGCCCGCGAAACACGGTCGAATTCCCGCCGGATCAATGTCAAACGTGATAGGATCGGAGTATTTTTTTTCTAATCCCCACATACACATACCAACAGCTGTATCATACTGACAGGGATCCGTTATTGGCGTTTTGGGTGAGAAGAGAACTGACTGCTTCACAATCCCTTCGTATCGACCAACATATGGGATAGAAAACACAGTGATCTCTTTCGCCCGCGACATAACGAACATTCATCTTCCCCACCAGCACGTGATCTATGGTGTACCTTTTGACAAAGTAACAAGCATGCTTTGTAGAATTCACCGTGGCCTTCTATCTAAAATTGTGTAAGGGAGAAAGGTTTTTTCCAAATGGATGTAGTTTTTTTGGCTCTACGATTATATACGCGTTCTCAATCGGAACTACACTGAGCTGGCAATAACTTTGGGCAGATGTCAAGACAGTCCAACGATAATTGAGAATCGATTCCAGAAAACCAGCTCATCTATTGATATCGAGACGTCCTCGACTCGGTCAATCTTGAGACCCTTCGATCCCTAAAAAGAGCTGATGGGATGACTGATAAAACTTTGAGGGTCCTGAGGCAATGGAACAAGCGCGGGCGTCCGCGTGTGGGGTAAAGAATATTCGAGGCAAACTTGGCACAGGAGTCAGTGAAGGCTATCCCACACCTCCGTTCGCCGGACAGTAAGATAGAGACTGACAAAATGCCTGGGTGTCTACCTAAGTAAAAAAAACTGCAAGTTAGAACAGTATTTCACGGACAACACTAACGTCCCCGGGATACTTAAATCCAGCCAATCCTTGACCGAATCAATTTTTCGCGACATCCATTGGGCTGGAGATTGATAAATCGAAAACCGAAGCATTTACGTTAATCCAGCAATTGTTCAACATCGAGTAAGTATCTGAGGTTCAAACAACTCGAGTGGCGAAGTCGTCAAGTAAAGTGACACTACGGATCGACAGCGACAGAACAGAAATAAATACCTATTCTGTAGCAAAAACCATAGATACACGAGCGCAAGTGTTTGTACAGCATCGAACGGTTCCAGCTACCCAACAAAATTGAAAGTCCGACTTGTACCTTTCAAACTATGACCGTTTGTGCGACGTGGAACCGATGGAATAAATTGTACTACCTACCAGTCACAAGACCGTGTATCTAGACGGCAATTACGGCAGGAAATGAGAAAGCCTCGTAAGACAAAAAGAGAAAATATTAAAAGCACGGTGGGGGAGAGAAACAAACACATGATAGATACAATAACGTGGAGAACAAATGTGGGAATGATGGCGTCAACATAAACAATGAGGGAAATGAACACAAATGTAGCAGTGAATTGAAGATAGGTAAAAAAAAAGTGGAATAAAACGCGCGGGTCTGCGGCCAGCCGTCACCCGTCGTGATCTAGTTTTGATCCCATTCTTATAGACCACGGCGTGAATCGACCAGAGCACGTCGTGCATCGTTTCGGGCTCGATTCCAGACCGCGGCTGTTCGTTCGCGTTGTACAACAACACTCAGGCCAGGTCGGACATCACGTGGGTCGCGGCGGGGAACCGTGGTGGTTGAGTTCATCCGGTTCGCCGGTGTAGCCAACAGCGGTGTCCCAGTTGTGTTGGGACGAATCAATGTTGTATTATGGGTTGAGTTTCGGTGGGGAGTATGATGCGACAGACGAGCCAAATTGCGCCTCGCATCGTAAGCTTTACGACGCGCAAACGCACTATCCGCAGGAATGTTGGGTGTGTGCTTGTGAACGGTTGGTGCTGATTTGGCATCTGTGCAGAATGATTAAGAAGCAGTGTCAGTGAATAAAGTTCACAGCGATTGGTAAAACTAATAATCCTACAAGACGACGAAAATAGCTTTTGTACGACTATCTGCAAGCACATGCGGGGGGTTTCCGTGTCGAAATCCCGATCACCGGAATACCGCACGAAGCAGTTTATTTAGTATTCAACTGGCATTTTATTCGGACAGTTACCGCTATTCTTCTCTGACACGACAAAGAGTGTTTTACAATCGGGCAGGACAAAAGCATAGCCTATCCAAGCGGTTTAGGCTTCGGTGACCTGCAACCTTTTTATTATTACACTCCAGTGTGTGTGATGAACAGCATCAGACGGGGCGGACCCCATAGTCACGAAGACCTGATGTTCAGTAATGGTAACCGACAACCTTAGCCCGGTGGGACTTGGAATGGTGAACCACATATAAGGCCCCACGCGGGGTCAGGCGTGGTATAGAACCGGGCGACAACAAAGCTGTCTACCACCAAAGTTGGGTGGCGGGGCTAGAGCTTCAGACCACAGAATACAAAACACGCCGGTGACAGCGGCTAAACCACTGCGCCACCACCACCTGATTGGCTTGACCCGTCCCTCAATCAGTTTGACATCGAGGCCAAACCAGAACAGTCGATTACGATCATCTGATTCCAATTTCCTCAGATCCGTTCCGTTTAGTTTAGATATCCATAAACTTAGTGCATTTTGCTACAACAATTTTATAAGCCAATTAAGATCAAATTAAGTGACGGGTGAATTTTCAGCGCGGAGCACAGCATAAATTCGAGTGAAAAATGTAAAAAAATGATTAGGAAGTGATAGTAAGTAAACGATTTAATAAAATGCGCACAACATAAGGAACACGGTCATGGGTACAAGATGTTCGCGACAGGGGAAGTTTGGACTGGGATCATGTACAGCAAGGGAATACTGTTAGAAGAACGGCATTTGATGTTAGCCAAGTGTTTTGCAAAACTGATCGTTTTTAAAGAGTATGAGGGATAACTGAAAATGAAAACAAGAATGGCCCATCATCATCATCATCATCATCGTACAGCGAAATACAGTGAAGCGAACTTCACTGATCGCTGTCAAACTCACAAGGTCAGTGGTAAAATATTGAGACGGCTTACTTCCACGTCACTAACCCCGTCGCTTCATCCGACGTGGGCTCAACTGCATAAACACCGACAATCGAAAGCTCCTAGTGGACGGATATCTACGGGCAAATCCAGGAACTCACAACCATAAAGCAGAACTGAACGAACGCGAGCACAATATACACGGCCTTTCAACTTCAGTAAAACGTCTCGTCTATGCCCAAGGTGTTTCAGTTCTGCATATGGCTCAGGTTAGACTGACTGCAATCCCACCCACAAAATAACGGTTCCTGGTTCTGGTGACAGAGCCAACCGATTTGAAAGATCTCTGGGAATGATCCTGTACGATTCAGAAACATTACTAGAGCTATCAAAACCTTTTCTAGTGCCAAACAAAACAACACGACAGAGTGGCGAGCAAGCTAACTTTCACTGATTAGAATTCATGCTAATATATATGTATATATATATATATATATATATATATATATATTCAATTTCCTATGTCGCACTCCTGAGAAGTTGCATTTTCCAATAACATCCGACTTTTTCGAAAACTCAAACCAATCGTATGCCTAATAACGTAGTTTCCGACTAAGTCACACCGAT